TATCAGTACCTACAAGCATAACAATGATAACAGTACCATACCGTAGAAAATTCAATGTAGCGTCCAATGTTCATTAATTTATGAACAATTTGTTATTGTTATTGGAATTATCCATGATAGGAAAAAACTTCAGAAAATTCAATACAGCGTCCCATGTTCATTAATTTATGAACAATTTCTTATTGCTATGGTAATCTTCCATGAAAAAAAAAAAACTGCATAAAATTCTATATAGCGTCCAATGTTCACTAATTTATGAACAATTTCTTATTGTTATTGGAATTATCTATGAAACGAAAAAATTGCAGAAAATTCAAGATATCGTCCAATGTTCAATAATTTATGAACAATTTCTTATTGTTATGGGAATTATCCATGAAAATAAAAAACTGCATAAAATTCTATACAGCATCCAACGTTCATTAATTTATGAACAATTTCTTATTGTTATGGGAATTATCCATGAAAGCCTTTATTCCTACCTTAACCCCATTTAGCGTAACCGATCGAGACTTGCATTCGAGGTAGCTCGACATGGCCACCCAATTATATCGTTAAGGTAAAGTTCATGGAACGATGCAATCGATTAGGAGTTTGCAACTCGACAAAGGGTTCATAAGCGATCCGAGGAAATTTCCCGGGAAATATCGCTGCACCCGTCGACCCATTTGCTGGTTTTCCTTTTTTTGGAAAAGCAGTTCCCTCACGCTGGTCTCTCGAGTTCCTTACAGAATTTGCTGATTCGGGAAGAAAAAGTCCTAGATCAGCATTTCCAGATCGACTATGACCATATAGCGCTATTTTGATTCCCCTAGAAAATGTTGTAAGAAACTTTAACATGTCCTTTGTTAAAAAGGACCTCCGTTAGCGTTAATCTTATTTATTGCTACGTTTTGAATGAAAAAGGTAATCATTTATTATTCCATTTTTCATGAAAAAGTGTAACTTGTTAAGTAGCATTTCTTCCTTACTGATTCGGAAAGAAAAAGTCCTAGATCAGCATTTCCGGATCGACTATAACCATATAGCGCTATTTTGATTCCCCTAGAAAATTTTGTAAGAAACTTTAACATGTCCTTTGTTAAAAAGGACCTCCATTAGCGTTAATCTCATTTATTGTTACGTTTTTTATGAACGAGTGTAACTTCTTGAGTAGCATTTCTTCCTTACTAATTCGGGAAGAAAAAGTCCTAGATCAGCATTTCCGGATCGACTATAACCATCTAGCGCTATTTTGATTCCCCTAGAAAATGTTGTATTGAATTTTAACATGTTCTTCATTAAAAAGGACCTTTGATAGCGTTAACTTATTTCATTATACTATTTTTCATAAAAAAGATGCAATTTCATAAGGAATATCCATTCTCAATTCATTCTTGAACCCTTTTCCTTTCTTTCTTTTTAATATGAAAATTTTCTAGAAAATATTGTAACAAATTTTAACATGTCCTTTATTAAAAAGGACCTCCGTTAGCGTTAATCACTTTTATTATGTCATTTTCTATGAAAAAATTGNATCTTGCAAGGCCAAGATTGAAACTGCAAGACGAAATCATGAAAGTCTACTTTTTGTAAGCCCAAGACCAAGATCGATGTTACTCATCATGACCTCTTAATGATGATCGAATGCAAGACCAAGGCCAAGATCGATCCTGCTCCTCACATCCTCTTATTTATAATCAAATACAAGTCCAAGACCAAGATCTGACTTATCACAACCTCTTATTGATGATCAAATATATTATAAAAAATTTCAACATATCCTTTATTAAAAACCATTCTCACGGTATTTTCATTTCCCTAGAAAACATTATTACGAATTTTATCGAGCTTCATTTCACTACAGAATTTACGTCGAGCGCATGTCTATTAATTATTAGGATTATTGATCAAGTGCAATCAAACGAGAACACCTGTTCAACTGAAATTTCATCCCAATTATGATATTCCCAGATATTAACTTTTTTGATAACATGGAAATGTCATTCATGATTCCATAAAGTACATTTCTGCCTCAAAGATATTTGGAGTGAAAGGGTCAACAAGCTGCCCTAAAGGTGATATCAATATTTTGATAACAGATTTAATAACATATAATCCTAACATTGGCCCGCTCCAAAAAATTCCGAATACATTTTTTTTCCTTCAGAAATATTATTTATAAAAAATGATATGTCAAGTAAAACTGCCTAGAAGTGACCAGCAGTGCCGGGGAATATATTGTTAATTAATAAGTGGTTCTTTCGTTGCAAATATGGATTTTTTCCCGGATACATTTCTTCGGGAATTTATGAAAGAAAATTCCGAATACATATTTTTTCCTTCAGAAATATTATTTATAAAAAATTATATATCAAGTGAAACTGCCTAAAAGTGACCAGCAGTGCCGGAGAATATATTGTTAATTAATAAGTGGTTCTTTCGTTGCAAATGTGGATTTTTTCCCGAATACATTTCTTCGGGAATTCATGAAAGAAAATTCCGAATACATATTTTTTCCTTCAGAAATATTATTTATAAAAAATTATATATCAAGTGAAACTGCCTAAAAGTGACCAGCAGTGCCGGAGAATATATTGTTAATTAATAAGTGGTTCTTTCGTTGCAAATGTGGATTTTTTCCCGAATACATTTCTTCGGGAATTCATGAAAGAAAATTCCGAATACATATTTTTTCCTTCAGAAATATTATTTATAAAAAATTATATATCAAGTGAAACTGCCTAAAAGTGACCAGCAGTGCCGGAGAATATATTGTTAATTAATAAGTGGTTCTTTCGTTGCAAATGTGGATTTTTTCCCGAATACATTTCTTCGGGAATTCATGAAAGAAAATTCCGAATACATATTTTTTCCTTCAGAAATATTATTTATAAAAAATTATATATCAAGTGAAACTGCCTAAAAGTGACCAGCAGTGCCGGAGAATATATTGTTAATTAATAAGTGGTTCTTTCGTTGCAAATGTGGATTTTTTCCCGAATACATTTCTTCGGGAATTCATGAAAGAAAATTCCGAATACATATTTTTTCCTTCAGAAATATTATTTATAAAAAATTATATATCAAGTGAAACTGCCTAAAAGTGACCAGCAGTGCCGGAGAATATATTGTTAATTAATAAGTGGTTCTTTCGTTGCAAATGTGGATTTTTTCCCGAATACATTTCTTCGGGAATTCATGAAAGAAAATTCCGAATACATATTTTTTCCTTCAGAAATATTATTTATAAAAAATGATATGTCAAGTAAAACTGCCTAGAAGTGACCAGCAGTGCCGGGGAATATATTGTTAATTAATAAGTGGTTCTTTCGTTGCAAATATGGATTTTTTCCTGGATAAATTTCTTCGGGAATTTATGAAAGAAAATTCCGAATACATTTTTTTTCCTTCAGAAATATTATTTATAAAAAATTATATATCAAGTGAAACTGCCTAAAAGTGACCAGCAGTGCCGGAGAATATATTGTTAATTAATAAGTGGTTCTTTCGTTGCAAATGTGGATTTTTTCCCGAATACATTTCTTCGGGAATTCATGAAAGAAAATTCCGAATACATATTTTTTCCTTCAGAAATATTATTTATAAAAAATGATATGTCAAGTAAAACTGCCTAGAAGTGACCAGCAGTGCCGGAGAATATATTGTTAATTAATAATTGGTTATTTCGTTGCAAATATGGATTTTTTCCTGGATAAATTTCTTCGGGAATTTATGAAAGAACCTAATGAAATTATTTTATTTAAGATTGCCAATCATTGAGGGACTGAAATTTACATCACAACACTTGGGATCAATAGTGACAGCGATGACGACGATGATTGGCAATCATCCGACCCGGAAATCGAATTAAATCCACGAAACGGGAAAATTAGAGCTAGAATTGCATTGTGCTGACCAGGAACCAGATTAGAATTCAAATGTACGTTCCAGTTTAAACACTGGTCATTGTTCCCTAACTCTACCGGTTTCACTATCAGAACAGTTATCAGTTCCGTCCTCAAACCTTTGCAAACAAGTCATGTAAGTATTCCCAGTTATTCTAAGGAAATTCGTTCCCAAGTTTCATGAACAAAATGCTTTTACGCCACTTTGACATCCCCTTAAAGGGACCAGCACGGAATGAAAGGAACCACAACAACAATCGTAAAGTAGGACCAACACAATTAAATCAAATTCAAAGTAGAACTGAAGTTCATCTAGTTGTTCTAAGGAAATTCGTTCCCAAGTTTCATGAACAAGAACGCTTTTACGCCACTTTGACATCCCCTTAAAGGGACCAGCACGGAATGAAAGGAACCACAACAACAATCGTAAAGTAGGACCAACACAATTAAATCAAATTCAAAGTAGAACTGAAGTTCACCTAGTTGTTCTAAGGAAATTCGTTCCCAAGTTTCATAAACGAGACCTCTTTTACGCCACTTTCGTATCCCCTTAAGGGGACCTACGCCCAGTAAAAAGAACCACAACAAAAAGGGTAAAGTAGGACCAACACAGGTCTAGGTTAGATTCAAAGTAGAGCTGAAGTTCACCTAGTTATTCTAAGGAAATTTATCCCCAAGTTTCATAAACGCCACTTTAACACCCCCTTAACATGTCGACTGTCGCGTCACACAAATTCGAGTAACATAGCAATCAAATAAAATGCGCGTGGCAGTCAAAGTGTTAAAGGGACCAGCTCCCAAAGCCAATAAAAGGAACCACAACAACAAGCGTGAAGTAGGACCAACACGGTTCTAAGTTCGATTCAAAGTTAGAGCTGAAATGATCCACCCAGTTATTCTAAGCAAATTTATTCCCAAGTTTTATTGACGCCATTATCACATCCCCTTAAAGGGACCAGCTCCCAAGACCAATAAAAGGCACCACAACAACATGCGTAGGTCCAGGTCACACAACACAGGTCTAGGTAAGATTCAAAGTAAAGCTGAAATTTCTACTGATGGTCAGCATCGATAAATGAACATTCAATGAACTTACGAACTCGCGTCACTTACTCCTGGCGGATTTGGAGACGAAGGCGAGGAGTCCCCGGATTTCCTGAAGGCTGATGGCCTCCTGGTTGAAGCTTCTATGAACCGGTGTGGAGTTCAGGGCAGTGAAAACCGCACCCATGGTGAAGTGGCACTCGGAGTTCCCTCTGCTGCTGGCCACGTCGTGGTTGTGGTAGATCAGTCCCACGACCTTCCATCCGAAGAGCCGAAGGATGTGTCGAAGAGCCTCCCCCACGTGGGAGTGGGAGCCCATCATCCTGGTGAGGGTGGGATAGTGCTCATCCTTGTACCGGAAGGCGTCAGCTTGTGCACCTGCCGTGAGCACGGGGATCCCCCAGGCACCTGCGTACCTGGCCACAGGTGCAATCACGTAGTCGCACACGGGCCCCAAAAAGACGTCTGCTCCGGCCAGGGAAACAAAATCCGGCAATTTCACACTCTAGACCCTGCGACGACACGAGAGGCCCACTCTCAGCGACCCGAAAGCATCCCTTGCCATTTTACGCGACCTGGTTCTCCCTTCATTTGGGGTTCTGGGGGATCTAGGGACCTGGGAGTGGAGGGGAAGAAGGATCTCGATGGTGAGCATCGCTTGTGACGGTTTTGGGTGACTTTGAAAAGCCGGGGATGAAGTTGTAAGCAGCGACTTTGGGGTACACTGTGCCTGGCAGTGGTCTAGTTCTTTCTTTATTTAGGGTCCCAAGGGGTCTAGGGACCTGGGAGTGGAGGGGAAGAAGGATCTCGATGGTGAGCATCGCTGGTGACGGTTTAGGTGGTTTTGAAAAGCCGGGGATGAAGTTGTAAGCAGCGACTTTGGGGTACACTGTGCCTGGCAGTAATATGGTTCTTTCTTCATTTGGGGTCCCAATGGATCTAGGGACTTGGGAGTGGAGGGGAAGAAGGAACTCGATGGTAAGCATCGCTGGTGATGGTTGGGTAGATTTCAAAACAGAGAGATGAAGTTGTAAACAGCGATTTTGGGGTACACTGTGACTGCCAGTGATTTGGTTCTTTCTTCATTTGGGGTCCCAAGTGATCTAGGGACCTGGCAGTGGAGAGGAAGAAGGATCTCGATGGTGATCATCGCTTGTAACGGTTTGGGTGGCTTTGAAAACACAGGGATGAAGTTGTAAGCAGCGATTTTGGGGTACACTGTGCCTAGCAATAATTTGGTTCTTTCTTCATTTTGGGTTCTGCGGGATTTAGAGACTTGGCAGTGGAGGAAAGGAAGTGTTTCGATGGTGATCATCGCTTATGACGGTTTGGGTGGCTTTGAAAACACAGGGATGAAGTTGTAAGCAGCGGTTTTGGGGTGCACTGTCCTGGCAGTGATCTAGTTCTTTCTTCATTTGGGTTCGCAATAGATCTAGGAACCTGGATGCCATAGTAGTCTTGGTCTTGATCTTGCACTTGGGCATCACTACTAAATATTGATGAACAGATCTTAATCTTGCAAGGCCAAGATTGAAACTGCAAGACGAAATCATGAAAGTCTACTTTTTGTAAGCCCAAGACCAAGATCGATGTTACTCATCATGACCTCTTAATGATGATCGAATGCAAGACCAAGGCCAAGATCGATCCTGCTCCTCACATCCTCTTATTTATAATCAAATACAAGTCCAAGACCAAGATCTGACTTATCACAACCTCTTATTGATGATCAAATGCAAAACCAAGGCCAAGATTGATCTTGCACATCACTACCTCTTAATGATGATCGAATGCAAAACCATGACCAAGATTGATCTTGCACATCACTACCTCTTAATGATGATCAAATGACAAAACCAAGACCATGGTAGTCTTGGTCTTGACTTTGTACCCAGCCATCACTATACTCTACCGACCCGCGAAGCTTCAAAACATAAGGAAATGGTTCCATTCTTGATCGTAAAAAAACACAACAGAATAAAAAGCAAGTTGGCGTATTAACGGCGTTGTTTTCGAGGACGCAATCTTCCGCACCATTTCTCGGAGAAGCCCGAATGTTCTGGGAAGAGTTCCAAAGTGTCAAGACCCTCGAATTTACACTTTCCCGGGAAAGACGACCCGCGACATGTCATGTCCTTGTTTGTCTATGACAATGGCGAATCCTCTACGTGTAGAAATTCCCAAACTTCGACACCTCCTGGACACTTCATCCGTTTCCGAAAAATAGGTCCTGCGACAAAATACGAGCCAAAAGAGCTGAGACCGCAGAATTTACACGGAGTCCTGGCAAGGGTCCTAAGAGGAAGTAGTAGAAACTTATTCTAGGGAAAAAAAGGAGATCATCCCAATTAACAAGTAGTGGAATACACTTTGAGAGAGAAGGGTAAAACCAATGATAGTAATCGTATAAAGAGTTATGTCAAAAAATGTGTTTTATACGTTCTACGACAAATTCAACGTCGATATAACGTCTAATCTACGTTTATTAAACTATCGTTTCGGTCGGGTACCGTCAACGTCGTTTAAACGTAGTCTGTATGTGTAATAAACGTTCATAATCGTTTATTATACGTTCAAATTACGTGTAATCTACGTTTATTAAACCATCGTTTCGGTCGGGTACCGTCAACGTCGTTTAAACGTAGTCTGTATGTGTAATAAACGTTCATAATCGTTTATTATACGTTGAAATTACGTGTAATCTACGTTTATTAAACCATCGTTTCAGTCGGGTACCGTCAATGTCGTTTTAATGTAGTCTGTACGTATGATAAACGTTCATAATCATTTACTATACGTTGAAGTAACGTTAAACCGATAAAGTACACATTTCTTCTTGGTTAGAGATAGACGTGTCAAAAAGTTAAAAGAAAAAATCAAAAAGTAAAATTAACCTTTCCTGCAAATGTCTATTTAACGTCCACATTGTGTTTATGTGGATTTCATTAAGGGGTTACACCACTTTGACCCACCCAAAAATTACGGTTTTTCAAGAATTTCTTTTTAAGAATTAAAACGTTTTTATCCAGATTAAAGTACAGGAAGGTATTATACTACTATTAAACAAAAAAATGCTTTTTTGTATTTTTTTTATTTACAAAAATGGCGGCTTGAAAGGCTTGATTTACCGGAGCGCTGCGAAAATCGATGATCGTATGGTGGGCACGATAACTCAGTCCAGGTTTAAGTTAGAACAATAAACGAAAAAGAATTAGTTTCTGTAGCCCAAAAGCTAGCGAAATAAGTAGCCGTTTTCAAAAATATGCATTTTTCACAAAATAGCAACGATTTGAATAGAAAGATACGTATTTTGCCCTAAATTTCGTTAATTAATGTTGCATAAAAAATGCGAATATCAATACATTGAAAAAACCATACGTATTTCGCTAGATAAACATATCACGAATAAAATAAAAAAAGAATCAAGAGGATTGATTGAACATTGGCGGAGCTAGAGTGCCCACCGATTTTTAAAATGCAGTTTTAAGAAAAACGCGTTTACACCTATATACCTGCCCACCGCACGATCACCAATTTTCGCAGTGAGCGGGTTTAATAGTAGTATAATACCTTACTGTATGTTAATTTGGATAAAAACGTTTTATCTCTTAAAAAAAAATTCTTGAAAAAACCGTAATTTTTGGGTGCGTCAAAGTGGTGTAACCCCTTAAACGGCATTGATATGCATTTGTGGGTTAAGTTTAATCTTACGTAAAAATCCACAAAATGAGATCTGACACCGTTTCGACCATGACTCCAAATCCCCGATGTAAACCCACATCAGACACGGCAGAATATCGATCTGCACCTGTAATTAGCCGAGTTTCGCAATTTACAAAGCCCACATACTCATCGATGTCGACTTTCAGTTCCAGCTCCTCCAAGCATTATAGTTTTTAGTTTTAATTTAAGTATAGCTTTAAATCAAGTATAGATATTTGTAGATCAATAGTGGATATATAATTTTAATCTACAATAGACATAGATATTTATATATATCCTTAAGATATTTTTTTAGGTGGATGATAGACGATATACATTTGCTATACCTATAGACCTAATTTAGACGATTAATTTACGTATATACCACTTTATGGGTTGCCTGGGTCCGTATTAGCAATTTNGTTGCCTGGGTCCATATTAGCAATATGTTATATTATAGATATTCATATACATCCTTTAGATATTTTTTTAGGTGGATGATAGCCCATATACATTTGCCATACCTATAGACCTAATTTAGACGATTAATATACGTATATTTTACTACATGGGTTGCTTGTGTCCACATTAGCAAGATGTTATATTATAGATATTCATATACATCCTTTAGATATTTTTTAAATGGATGATAGACGATATACATTTGACAATTAATATACGTATATTCCACTTCATGGGTGTATACGTTAAAAACCTGGAAAAACACGAAATAACCCAACTTGCCTTTAATAAAAGATGATACCTAGCCCATGAGTAATTACAATATCAATGTTCGGTACTTTCAAGCATCATACTTAAGACGATAACGAGGAAAGTACATTGCACTTTCGACGGCACCCTCCGACAAGAGAAAACGATTCTTTTTTTATCACGTCCAGCTTTTCCGGGAAACTCCCCGTAGAGTTACACTGTAATGCCATTACAGATCTCGGCAAGATGGTTAAACCTCGTTTTTCCTCTTTATTTCACCCCCCACTAATAAAAAATGTTGTAAACAAAAATCCCCCAAAACACAATTATTTGATTCAAATGAATATTATTCGATGTAATGTTTATCTTTGTGCGGTAAAAATATATAATTCCGACACTTTGTGTCTTAAATGTGATTTTCAACGTTATTTGTACGTTCTTTCCACCAAAATATTGTTATTTCATCGAAATGAGCATTGTTCATAGATATAGTTTTTTATTGCAATTTATCGCGTACATTAAATAAAATATGCATTATGCACGTTCAATGCATAAGGTTGTACTGAAATTATAAATTCGGTGTCTTAAATATGATTTTCTACGTTATTTGTACGTTCTTTCTACCAAAATATTGTTATTTCATCAAAATGAACATTGTTCATAGAAATTCTTTTTTATTACAATTTATCGCGTACATTAAATAAAATAAACTCCCTTAAAGGGGAGAAACAGGGACCGGAAGTGAATTCAGGAATGGTCACGATATTCAAGTGACTGAGACCGGAAGAGGTGGAGGGTGGATCGAAGGTTGAACGAGGTTCCAAAACCACGAGAAGTTGGTAAAAAGTTTTGAGGTTAGGCGGAAATGAAAAAGCTCGATCGCCGATGCTTGCAGAGAATTATTACCCAGTCTTGGAACAGAGGAAAAAAGAGGAACACGTGGAAGTGGCGGATCGGAAACTGAGGTCGGAGGGAATCGAGCAAATTTGTGGGTCCTAACTACACTGTTCCGTGTGGATGAAAGGGAATTTCTAACCTAAAACTCCTGAAAACCACCTAAATCCTGGCTAAACCTTTCTAGTCAACTTTCTATCCAGAGAATAATTAAAAAAATCAACGAATTCCATAAAATCCACACTAAAAATCGGTCCCAAATGATGGTCACGTCCTTTAACACTTTACCGGAAATCCTGTCAGGGAATTTCTAACCTAAAAGTCCTAGGAACCACCTAGTTCCTGGCTAAACCTTCCTAGCCAGCTTTCTATCTAGTGAATCAACGCAAAATCAATGAATTCCATGAATTCCACACAAAAAATCGGTCCCAAGTCCTGGCAGGGAATTTCTAACCTAAAAGTCCGAACTACCACCTAAATCCTATCTAAACCTTTCTAGCCAACTTTCCATCTAGGGAATAATTTAAAAACCAAAGAAATCCAAGAAATCCACACAAAAAATCGATCCCTAAGAGCACATCCTTTTACATTTTTCCGGAAATCGTCCTTTCGTCCGGACTTCCGGAGCCGAGAAAAATTGCAGAAAATCAGAGAAAATGGGGGAAACTGCACGAAGCCAGTATCGCGTTACCCAAGTCGAAGTAACGAGTCCCACAATAATGAAACGCATTTTATAGTATTATTGCACGTGGCTGGGTAGAAGTGAAAGAAAGAAGAGACCCTCTTTTTTGCCCTTTTCCCGGGAAAGCTCGAATTTCCTGTAAGTGGAGTTGGGATAAAATGCACTCGACGGTTTTCCTGGTCGGAGTAATCGCGATGCAGTTTCTATGGCCCCTTAAGGTGATGTGAAACACGTCGAGGAAATTGATCGACGTCGGTAAAAGGATTCCTCTAAATACCTACGTTGCCGACGTTGAATCGCGAAAAATCGCGACATAAAATGGTTTCGGAACTCAAAATTGTATTTAAATCAAAACATCAATTGGTTTCGGAACTCAAAATTGTATTAAAATCGAAACATCAATTGGTTTCGGAACTCAAAATTGTATTAAAATCAAAACATTCATTGGTTTCGGAACTCAAAATTGTATTAAAATCAGAACATCAAATGGTTTCGGAACTCAAAATCGTATTAAAATCAAAACATCAAATAGTTCGGAACTCAAAATTGTATTAAAATCAAACATCAAATGGTTTCAGAACTGAAAATCATATTAAAATCGAAACTTCAAATGGTTTCAGAACTCGAAATTGTATTAAAGTCAAAACATCAAATGGTTTCGGAACTCAAAATTGTATTAAAGTCACAACATCAGATGGTTTCGGAACTCAAAACTATTAAAATAAAACATCAAATGGTTTCAGAACTGCAAATCGTATTAAAATCGAAATTTCAAATGGTTTCAGAACTCAAAATTGTATTAAAATCGAAACATCAAATGGTTTCGGAACTCAAAATTGTATTAAAATCAAAACATCAAATGGTTTTGGAACTCAAAATTGTATTAAAATCAAAACATCAAAAAACTTAACAATGAACTCAAAATAAGTACTGAATTAATATGCAAATTTTTACTGCAAATTATATTAAAATCAAAACATCAAAATGCTTAATAATGAACTCAAAATAAGTACTGAATTAATATGCAAATTTTTACTGCAAATTATATTAAAATCGAAACATCAAAAAGTTTAACAATGAACTCAAAATAAGCACTAAAAGTATATTAAAATCGAAACATCAAAAAGTTTAACAATGAACTCAAAATAAGCACTAAAAGAATATGCAAATATTTTACTGCAAATCATATTAAAATCAAAACATCAAAAAGCTTAATAATGAACTCAAAATAAGTACTGAAAGAAAATCCAAATATTTTTGATTTCCGTACCCGCCCTAATGTGTAATAAAAATTTATACAGAAAATTCAGATCAAGCGGGTAGAAATAGAAAAGGAAATGTCGGAAATCGAGCTCGTTCGAAAAGCTTCCAAGCAGTAAAAGAATCAGCATTTGTGACTCTCGACGTTCTGGATGGAAAACTACGTCGAAGGCGACTGGAGTGTTGAAAAAAAAAAGTCGCATAAAATCCCTCATTTTCGATGAGTGCGCAGTCGTGCCCCAGGCTCCTCAAAATCAATCGGGCGTACTCTGGATTTTTATGAAAATGGCACAAGAGGGCCATTCGGTACGGAAAACTTTTTTTCAAACGTAGCAGGGAAATCCGCTCCCACTAGGATTTCCCTCCGACAATTCTGAATCGATTCCACGTTTTCATTTTTTTATTTCGACAGGTCATCGTTCGAAAATACTCCGAAAATTAAACAATACTTTCGTCTTAAATAATTAATATTTTTTTTCTGGAAAATAATATTAATTTAATAATTAATTAATATTATTTTCTGGAAAATGAGCTAACATTTAGGATTTTTCTTTTACAATTCTGAATCGATTCCATTTCAATTTTTTATTGCGACAGGTCATCGTTTGAAAATACTCCGAAAATTAAACAATACTTTCGTCTTAAATAATTAATATTTTTTTTCTGGAAAATGCGCTAACATTCGGGATTTTTCTTTTACAATTCTGAATCGATTCCATGTTTTCATCTTTTAAATTCGACAATTGCGGAAGTTTATTTCGCGTATTCTTCTACGTTGCAGAAAATTCCCCGGAAGTATTATAGGTAAAAAAAAATTTCGAGCCCTCTCTCAAAGCAACCTAGGGTGAAACTTTCAGAATAAATTACTAGGCTTAAGCGTGGGGGATTATGGGGTTTACTAACTTTACAAGTAAAACAGTCCCACCAAGAGGGGTGGCTTTTTTCCACAACAAAGGGGTTACAAAGAAGCGTCATTAATCACAATTTTTTTTTCTGAAGCAATTCGCATTGCGCATTATTATTATCATCATCAATTCGATCCTTGGAATATTTTCAGACTCTGAAACGTCGATGAGAAATCGAAAAATGTCATTATCATTATCACTATCGTTATTACTATCATTTGTAATTTGTAATTTGTCATTTGTCATTTGTCATTTGTCATTTGTCATTGTCATTTGTCATTATTGTCATCATCATCATCATCATCGTCATCGTTATTATTATCATTGTTGTTGTCGTTGTTGGTGTCGTCGTCGTCGTCATCATTTGTCATTGTCATTTGTCATTATTGTCGTCATCATCGTTATTATTATCATTGTTGTTGTCGTCGTCGTCGTCATCATCGTCATCATTTGTCATTTGTCATTGTCATTTGTCAATAATGTCGTCATCATCATCATCGTTATTATTATCATTGTCGTCGTCGTCGTCATCATCGTCATCATTTGTCATTTGTAATTTGTAATTTGTAATTTGTAATTTGTAATTTGTCATTGCCATTGCCATTGCCATTGCCATTGCCATTGCCATTGCCATTGCCATTGCCATTGCCATTGTCATTGTCATTGTCACTGTCACTGTCACTGTCACTGTCACTGTCACTGTCACTGTCACTGTCACTGTCACTGTCACTGTCACTGTCACTGTCACTGTCACTGTCACTGTCACTGTCACTGTCACTGTCACTGTCACTGTCACTGTCACTGTCACTGTCACTGTCACTGTCACTGTCACTGTCACTGTCACTGTCACTGTCACTGTCACTGTCACTGTCACTGTCACTGTCACTGTCACTGTCACTGTCACTGTCACTGTCACTGTCACTGTCACTGTCACTGTCACTGTCACTGTCACTGTCACTGTCACTGTCACTGTCACTGTCACTGTCACTGTCACTGTCACTGTCACTGTCACTGTCACTGTCACTGTCACTGTCACTGTCACTGTCACTGTCACTGTCACTGTCACTGTCACTGTCACTGTCACTGTCACTGTCACTGTCACTGTCACTGTCACTGTCACTGTCACTGTCACTGTCACTGTCACTGTCACTGTCACTGTCACTGTCACTGTCACTGTCACTGTCACTGTCACTGTCACTGTCACTGTCACTGTCACTGTCACTGTCACTGTCACTGTCACTGTCACTGTCACTGTCACTGTCACTGTCACTGTCACTGTCACTGTCACTGTCACTGTCACTGTCACTGTCACTGTCACTGTCACTGTCACTGTCACTGTCACTGTCACTGTCACTGTCACTGTCACTGTCACTGTCACTGTCACTGTCACTGTCATTATTGTCGTCATCATGGTCATCGTTGTTGTTGGTGGTGGTGGTGGTGGTGTCGTCGTCGTCGTCATCATCATCATCATCATCATCATCATTATTATTATTAATTTTATTTTCAGACTCTGAGACGTCCATGTTCACCAACACAATCGAAAAGGGATCCACTCTGAATCGAACCGAGATATCGAGATTTCGGTTCATACAATCCGAACTCGTTTCATCGTAATATGCATTTCATATATATCTTGGTTGCCTTTATAAAGACGAATGGAAACCCCCTCAAAAGCAAAACTGCATCTGAAATTGATTTTACGTTCCGTCCTTCCCGCCGCTACAGTTCCGCTGCGAAGTTCGAAACGATTCGGGTGCATTTAAATCGGGGAAAAGTTTAAAAAATGAAACTTTAAGGTGATATGAAAGCGACGTCAAAGAGCCTTATCGGATTTTCTTTTAACTGGGTGCACCGAATCATTTGAAACTTTAGAACGTGAATATGGAGGCTATAAGGAAGGTCTTAGTACCCATGCAATTTAAAATATCTAAATTTGTTTATATATATTTAAATGATTTTTGATTAAAAATGATATTCCGTCGATGTCAGGACCTTTCTTATAGCCTCCACATTCACTTTGTAAAGTTTGAAACGAGTCGGTGCATCCAATTCGACGAAATGTTTGAAAATAAAAACCTTAAGGTGATATGAAAGTGGCGTCAAAGAGTCTTATCAGCTTTTCTTTTAACTAAGTGCGCCGAATCATTTGAAATTTCACAATGTGAATATGGAAACCATAAATAAGGTTGGAACACTCATGAAGTTTCATATTTTACCAAATATCATTTAAATTTCTAGGAACAAATTGAAAAAAAATGAAACTTCATAAGTATCCGAACCTTATTTATAGTTTCTACATTCACGTTGTGAAGTTTGAAACGATTCGGTGCATCCAATTCGACGAAATGTTTGAAAATAAAAACCTTAAGGTGATATGAAAGTGGCGTCAAAGAGTCTTATCAGCTTTTCTTTTAACTGGGTGCGCCGAATCATTTGAAATTTCACAATGTGAATATGGAAACTATAAATAAGGTTGGGGCACTCATGAAGTTTCATATTTTACCAAATATCATTTAAATTTCTAGGAACAAATTGAAAAAAAATGAAACTTCATAAGTATCCGAACCTTATTTATAGTTTCTACATTCACGTTGTGAAGTTTGAAACGATTCGAGAGATCCAATTATCCGAAAAGCTGCATAAAAAACATCGATACCACTT